AAAAAAAAAAAGAATGGGGCAAGATTGCATTACATGGCATTCTTCTTCGGATGTATGTACTTAACGTACCACCTCTTACTTTCCTGTTTTCCTGCGACAATGCATTTCCAGCAAATACTTAACGCATCCTCATTTTCAATCAATTATGAATACTTTACATGGTATGTATCTTAAAAAAACTTGATTCTTAGAAAAGTCTCGCTTTCTGGATAATTCATGGATTTTACCTGACAAATATTTACTGTGGTGATATCTTCATTAATCTCTTAATGTTAATTCACTTGAAATCAAATTCTAAAACTTTTTGTTCAATTATATTTTATCCTCAAAATAACTGTTACTTCATGCGTAAATTTGTTACGTTAGTTTATCGACTTACCACCAGGTGGTGTCATAGAAGTAATGATTCTCACTGGTAAAAGATCACACGACTGTTATTAGTAAGGCTAAGAAACATACTCTTGTTAGCTTTGCGCAGTGGCGATATCGTAACCAATGAGGTTCTACCGAGGTGCGATTATTGCTAGTTGAAAACTTTTACCAATACCCCGCCATGACGATGTGAAATACCATCGGCTACGGCAATTTTTGAAAGTTTCTGCGGAAACTGATTATCTAATTCAAAAATATTAAGATTTTTACTGAGGTTTAGATTTTTTATGTTAAAAGAGAAGAGAAAGAAATTAAGTTCTTTTCGATATATAAAAGTAATCTTTTCACGTATTTTATTGTAATCGTGGTTCTCAGTCTAAATCTCTAGTGAAAAACTATAACGTCATATGCACAGTGGAATTCTTTTATCAGTGTTTCTAGTGTCGTATGCCATCGTATGACGTAGTGTCAGTACACATGCGAATGCCTGATAGTTATTTCCGGACTTCGTCTCCCATAAAAAAATGTTGACCGTCATCAATCACTTGGAAAAGCTATCAGGGCATCCACGCATGAAGGTTTAACAGGATTAAAAAAAGCACACATTAAAATAGTCTTTTAATTACAGGTTGCTGGCAAACGAGAACCGGATCAAGAGGCTGAGGCTCAACAATGGATTGAGAGAGTGGTCGGAGAAAGATTTCCACCAGGTACGATCATGAAGCTCGTAACCGTGACATTTAACTTTCATTTTTATCAATTTAATTACGCATTGTAAATACGTAATTTGGCTGGGACATCCAAAAATCTGGTATATTAAGGTTTATCGTTGATACTACTCCCTTGCGGAACGTGCTGTCGTATATGTACTCCTGTTCTCCGGAGGTGGTGCAGTTCGAAAAGCGTGTCAATATCACCACCCCCGTTCAGGACCAGCGCAACGCATCCAAAGGCTAGCTGCGATCCTATAATTCCCGGGTACAAATGTCAGACCGCGTGACGTCGCAAAGGTTAAGCTTGTTGGCTGGGTCAGTTATTGGTGTATCTAACAGAAATCGACAAGTGGAGAAGTGAAAAGAAAGGATAACTTAACTAATTTTTGAGACATGTAATTGAACGAAGAAGAAGGATTTCCATGTGTTATCATTTATAATGAAAATACGTAGTATGTTTAATACTTATAAATTTAGTATTTTTATTAGCAACTTAATTAATAACTTTACTGCCTATACTTGTGTAATGTTTGTAGATCTAAATTTTAACGGAAAGCTATTGATCATAAGGACCTTAGATACAATAGAGTGCGAAATAAAGTATTGAAGATGAATGATAGCAGGTGGGTGATAGCAAGGGTAGCTGTAGCCTCTTTTTGCTGATATTATCCTAGTAAAACGCGCGCTTTGTTACGTCATTCGAGTCACCCTATTGAACAGCGAATGGGCAGCAACCCCTATGTCTAACGTGTATCCCTGGTTCGTGAAATACGCCAGGCGTCGACGCAACTGCCATGCTAAACGAACGATTGCACACCCTCTTGTATAACACCAAATAGCATCAAATTAAGATAAACTAATATTTAATGTCTTTTACACTTCTGTAACATCCTATTGAACTATCATATTAACGTAGAAAGGGTTACATTCTTAATCGAAACTTTCATCGAGTAAATTTGATTTCTAGAATAGACAATTTTCATGTTAGAGTAAATAGACGATGTTTAAACTCCAAGCATGGAGTGTAGTTACATTTTATGTCACGTTGCCGATTATCCCTTGAGGATTATCACGCAGTGTCAGTTCCCACCCACAGTAAGTAGCAGCTCTACAGGATGATGCGAGCCGGGTATTCGAAGCTTTTGATGTTATTGACTCGTTTAAAATTGAACTTGGAGTACCACCTCGACGTTCGATTGCCGTCGCCCACTTTTCTATCCTTCCGATCTCACCCTCAACGTCGTTGACCTTTGTCGTTGTGTTTGATGGCGTGCAAGCGGAATTCGATGCGTTCCAGGATTCTCGAATCTTTCGATTCTGGATGTTTGCCTGTTCCTGGAAGCTCGCGTGGCATGCTGGACACGACCCTTGTATACCAGTTTGTATATACTTACAAATATTCTTTTAGACAAGGGTAGGAAATTGCGTTTTATTTGAATACTAGCATTCTACTAGTGCAATACTTAGAAACTTTGACAAATAAATAAAAGATATGATATATCTAACTGAAAAAATTTTTTTAAAGAAATTTGACTAGCTTTCTTACTAAAGAAATTAAAAATTAATAAGTAGTGAAATGTAAAATGGAATTGTAAAATATTAGAAAATAGTGACAAAAGTAGTCTCTTTGTCAGATTAGAAAAATATCTATATATGTGGAAACGGAGTTCTTTGTTATTAATAGTGTAGGAAAGAAATTCAACTGAGGAACTCGCTAAACAGTTTTTTCAAGCAATCTTTCGCCGACGACACGTATTGATTTGGGCGTCATCTGTTCATCATGTTACGTCGTAAGGACGCCAACGTATCAGGGTCGCATAGGAGAACCCGGATAGTCATGTGGAACATCGCATTATATCATTTCTTGTTTCCCCTTCTTGCACACCCTTCGGATTTTCTTCTTGTAAAGCGAATTAAACATGAAGGATTCTTCACAACAATTGTTCCTTTCCAATTTCTCTTAATTTATTATAACAAAAGATTGAATGTTACATTTATCAATTTATACACAATTGGGCATGTGTATAGAGTGTATAATGTTGTTCATTTCTCTGTAAATTGGAATAGCTTCAAGTTACAATATTCATATTTTATTTTATCAATATTTATTCAATTGATTTTATATATAATTGATCTTCAGAGTAACTGTATGTATCCATATCCATGGTATAATCTGATTCGTTTCTTGTTAATTGCAGATCATTAAATGGTGATTTAATATCGTTGTGAACTCTCCTTAAAGCTCGTTAGCAAGAGCTCGAAGGGTTTCAAGGCAGGAAAGTGTCAGTCATCTGTTCGTCACGGTGGCACAACTAGCTTGCTTGCACCAGGGTACTAGCAGACGTTTGAGGGATTTATGGCTTGCCCGCCACGTTGACGTCAATGTATCGATCCCAGTGTCCATTGGACCTTAAACTTTTCGTAATTCAAGGTTTTCCTCTTTCCTTCTCTCTGAAGGGTAGCTCCAGCAGATAGGAGCTGTTGATATGTCGAACTGCTCGTCACGAAACGTTGCGTGACGTCACGAAAGCTCGCAGTTACTAGGGTAGCAAAGAAGGATAGTAGATGAATTTATGGCTTTCCCGCCGGCGAAGGGTTGCACCTACCGTTCACGTCTTCGATGCGTTTATTTGAAAAAATAAGAACATTTTCTTCTCGAAGAAGTCGCGTATCGGTGATTCGTTCGATTGAAAGGTTCTGGCGAAACGTCAACGAGTGTCAGTTGTCCGTCAAAAGACCGTCAATGACGTCATTCTGAGACGAGCCTACCAGGATTACAGCCCGAGGGTAGATTTACGACCAAGAGCAACAGGTTGTTGCCTCGGGTCGTGTTTCATTTGGAAATGTCCCCAAAGGGTTGGCACTCTCTGTTTCTCTTAATCGGTGGTTTGTAATTTCATACAAATTATTCGTTGTTCGAAATTGGCATTTATGGAAGCATAAAAAATTACATGTATCTTTATTTTCAAACGTAAAATTTTATTCAAATATTTATATACAACTCTTTTATGTATTTCTTAATTTTTATTTTTCATTGGTTTTTAGTCGTTTATTTCCTATAAATTTAATTAAAGAGCATAGAATGTTGATTTATTATGAAACAAGTGCACTATATGAAAAGAAATTGTTGAACACAGCCTCAGTTTTACAAAAATGGAGGGAAACTGGATTCTGCATGTGAAGGGATTCATTCCCGCGGGACCTGTTGCTTGCTACTGGTCGTAAATTCAAGCCGGAGATGTTGTCCTGATGAAAACCGTGTGTTTGACGTCTTTATGACATGAAACTGACGTGAAATCAATACTGAGGCACGCAAGCGTGTTTGTTGAAGCTAGAGAGAACCGTTCTTTCTAAAAAATTTCTCTTTTTTTCTATTTTTTCACTATACGGTATTATATATTTTTCTATTTTATTTTATACACATTATTTTTTAGTTTTTAATTTCTTTTGTACGAAGATAGCGTACGACATATCTATTTAAGAAAATCATGCACTGAGGTACGCGTTCTTTCCACTTCATTATTTAAATATTACTCTCTTTTAATCTAGATTTAGGTTGGGACTTTGGTCCTATTTGTATCTGATAGACATAATAATGTATTTTCACATAAAGTTACTGAAGGAAACATATTCACGGTTTATTTGTAAAAAAAAGATGCTTCAAGCGATTTTATGGATTTCATATCAAATTGTCGGGACATGACGACTATGACGTGTCACCGTAACAGGATAGTATCGAGGGTAGTAATAGTTTCGATTCACCAATACATATTATTGCGACTCGATATTTTTTTGACGCATGGTATCGGGTACGAACGAAGACAGCAATAAGACATGCAACGTCTGAAAAATATCAGGTCAGCATCATATTACTGTGTTTGCCCGAGCATGAAAGAAAGTAGTGAAGAATCGTAAGGGGCAAGTTAGTCCAGATCTGGAAGGCGGTTTATTGATTTTCTGTCATCTTCTTGCGTTTACGACATCTCATCGTGTTTCGATGCTACCAGGAACGTATCACCATATCACACTTGTTTACTCCACATGCCCGCGTTGATCCGGAGGTGGATGCTGGATGCTGTCGCCTCCGGCCTGTTGCCTGGATATTGTGGAAAAGTAACTGGTTCGCTCCATTCGCTTGACATGCGTAGTCAGTCTGCTATCAATCCGTTCTCTATAAGATAGTTATTTCTTTAAAGAAATTTTTCTTTTGCATTTCACAAAACAGAAAGAATTAGTTTTATTTTGTTGAAGAAATTATTTTAATTATTCCTTACATGCCTTTGATAATCTCCCTCGAGGATATCGAGAATTATATATTTTTTCTTAAACAAATCAATTTTTTTAAGAATGTTAGATGCGTCTTGTTTGTAGAATTTTTTCCGCTTAATTATGATTGTACAACATTCATGATTGCCTATGCTTGCAAACGTGCAGTTAATTGTTGTTCTTACTGTTTAAAATTTAGGACTCGATAAAGAATTCAATGAACAATACTTGTTAGTTGATGCTGATCAGCTGTCGAATACTCGTCAATCGAAAATTCAAGCATACGACCAGTTTTGTATTAGGCGAACAGATTTTGGGGTAAGCATTTAATGGCGGCCCCTCCATACAAGACCACGTGACACGTCGTCCTTGCAGGATCAGGATAGTAGTTCTTTGAACAGTTAGTCCGTATCTGTTATCCAAAAATGTCTCAAAACAAGTAGCAATTTATATATAATAAATATGTGACGAGTGACGCGAGTTCATCTGTTTACAAATAATATGTATTTAAATTGTAATATTTATTATCAAACAAAAATCAAAGAATAAGCTTGTTACAATATAATTTATAATTTTTTGCAATGATTTATTTTCTCATGATGCGCAGTGTTTCACAGTTCATATATGTAGCTCCATATAAAAGATACTGCAGAGCTACTTGAAGCTTAGTATGTTTTCTTAGTAACTCTGTAACTTTCATATTCATAGATGCTGCATATATTATCCATTGCTACAGCCGTGCGTAACCGAACATAGCCTATAGTCTATAGAATGATATATATACATAACTGTTGAATTGTATTTGGCTGAGAAATTCTTGATAAATCACTTACCTATTTCAACACCTATTGCTGACTATTATTCTTACTTATATCTACCTCCTTTCAAGATATCTTTTATCTGGCATATCAATTATTTTGACAATTCGATGGTTCCATATGTCCTATACCACAGGCATGGATATATATACATACGTGTATGAGTACATATGCAGGAAGAGAGCCAACTGTTGCGCACATCGATCGCAGCGCTTCCGCTCACGGTTCGCGTATCGATACAATTTATAAAGTTGCTCGCTAGAGAGCGTGGCATGTCAATACGTTCGATACATCGAAACGTCAACTGGTAGGGGAGCTTGACAATAAACGATACATGCTCGACATCGATGTACGAGCTCCTGTTGGATGCTGGCCTCCTAGCAATTTGAGATACAGCGTGTCTTCCGAATGGCGACGGGATTGCTTCTACGCCGCGAGTCACGACGACTGCAAGACAATGATGGCGTTGATCGAGAAACATCGTTGAAGACTAGAAAAAAAAAGCAAGCAACGGAAGACGGAGGCGGTCTTTCCTGATCCTTCGACTGACTGGAAAAAAATGCCATGCCCCCTTGGCGCGCCTCTTGGCATAATGGGGCGCCATAAACGAGTGCTGGTGTACGCTGCCTCTGTTATTATTTCGCGGCAATCTCGACCGCAGTGATGAATAGGAAGGGGGAGGATAAAACAAGAGAAACGACTGCTGTCATTCATTTGAACCGATAATAGCCCACCTGACAATGAAAATCAATGGTTGACATGGAGTGCGCATGTCATTCGACTGCGGAACATTCAAAGCCGCACTTCATCCCGAGGGAAGCCAGATTTATTTTTCTGTTATCCTGATGCCACTGTGGTTCTCGGCATTCTTTTCATTGCTCGGTACACTAGCTCTCTTTTCTTCACATATTTCGTTAGGTATTTAGGTGAATGATTGGTTAGGTCCGACGAGTTAAGAAATTGTATCAAAAGTTAATATTTTAATATCTTGAATGTTGCAGCAAATATGTATATATTTTATGTTAAGAAAATAGTCAATAATCATACCTAGTTGTCGAATATTCTTTGCTTATACTTATATGTTTTTAGGTGTAAGTTATGAGGATGCTTTGCGAGATGGTGTGTTGCTTTGTAAACTTATGAACAAATTGCAACCAGGTCTCATCGCCAAAATTAATACGTCTGGTGGTGATTATAAGATGATGGACAATCTTAATCAGTATGTATCGTACAAAAATATTCTTATATCGCATGGCCGAATAAGTGGTATGTCACTAATGATTATATGTATTAACATTGAAAAATGATATAACTATAAATAACAATAGTGTGCAAACTATTGTTTTATCTACTAAATATGCATTACAAAGTAGTATTTAGTAAATATGTCTGTCACGATATCCGCATATAAAACAAGAATGCAAGGAAATGTAAATGTTACTAGAGAAGGCAAACTCGCTAATTTTCGTCAATTGTCTACTTCCTTTCATGCTTTCCTGTTATTCAGTCAAGTTTACGCAATCGACAGTGTTTTACTACGGAATGATTCTCAACTCGAAACTCTGTCAAAGTCGAAGAGTCACGGAGTCAGAATCGTTAGAATCGAGAGATCAAACGAAAGATATGCGATTGAAATCGCCAATTACATCATTGTTCCTCGTGTTATCTGAAAGCCTAATAAATAAGAATCAAGAAAGTCCTAGGTCGGGATCGTCGTTTCAATCGTTTCATAAGGATAAAAAGGAGAACCTCAGCCAGCAATCTTACAAGAAAATTTGTTAAAAGCAGTACACGGTACAATAATAAACATGATTATTTAAGCATAATTTAATACGAACACTTTCCGTTTATTATATTTATCTCTTAGATAAAAGATCAAATTACAAAAATTGAACATTACTGCCATTGAAGAACTGTTTTTTTAAGCTGAGTAAGATTGCGTCTAAACCAGATGTAATTGGAAAGATGAAATAAGGTATAAGGTATTTGATAGGGGATTTTGTGCAAAATGTAATAACCGTGACATTTGCTGCATCTCTAACTGCGATGTCGCGTGCGCATGTCGACAATTGGCGCGTTTTCAATGTTCAAGAGCGCTTTCCTCAGTAGTGGGGCGAACGATGCGCAGCGCGGCCACTCCGCATTACTCCCTTTTTATGCGGAAAGTAGAAGTAAGGTAGAAGTCAAGAATCTTTATTGTGTATGCTTCTTTCCTTTTTTACGTGCCTAATACACAGAGAGTTCATTAATACTGGCCTACCTCACGTTTCTTGCGTTACATATGCATGCTGCATCGAAGCCGACAAAATGGCGACCTCCTGTATATATATTTTTACTGTACGTTAAAGTTATATTTATAATTTGTAGTACTTAATCAAGTAACAAATACGACGATCCTGTTTTGTTTTTTTATTATTAACTTTAGCATTAACTTTTTTTTTAGCATTTTCGCATAGTTTTTGTTAAAAGTATGGATTATTTAATTATATAACATTAATATAAGATTGATACAGTATATTTTGGCAAATATATCTCAAACTAAAAGAAAGTGACGATTATATGTATAGGCAAAAGTTATTCAGAATCACGCTCATGATAAGATATTTTAAAGCCATTGAAGTCGCTAGAGTGTGCTTTTTTATGAATAATTATCGGTATTTTTTTCAAGATTAAAGAGATTTCAATGATTATCGTACGTCGTACACGTTTGGGTCGCTTGATTGAACGTCGATCAAGCTATTCTACTGTCCTGTTAATCAGAAACACAAAACGTGTTAATTCTAGCTAGAGAAAACAGATATCTTAAGCAATGCCATTATAATGTTTCAGATTCCAGAAGGCTTGTGTGAAATATGGAGTACCAGATGTGGATCTGTTTCAAGCAGTCGATCTTATAGAAAGGAAGAATATCGCTCAAGTGACCAACACAATTTTTGCGATCGGTCGCACTGTAATGATTAATTAAACATATTTTTCATTATTGTCAAATGTATATAATAATTGGAGGAAAAAATAATAAAACAATATAAATTTGCAGACATATAGACATCCAGAATGGCGTGGACCATGGCTAGGACCAAAACCATCAGAAGAGAATAAACGAAATTTCACGGAGGAGCAACTAAGAGCTGGTGAAGGTTATATCGGTCTCCAGGCTGGTACCAATAAAGGTGCAACCCAAGCTGGTCAAAACTTTGGAGCAACAAGGAAGATTCTTCTTGGAAAATAATATTTATATCTATAGTATTTTCTAATGTTCTTAAGATTTTTTAACTAGTTCAAAATTAATTTCGAACAGATTGTCTTGTTTTAAAATGAATATTGAATTAATTGTAATTAATTTTATTAACAAAGAATTACATTAAACTTCTTAATTATTCTATAATTTCTTAGCTATGTTATAATAAGTTATAAATACATAGAAGTTGGATATCCAAATAATTATCATTAATAAGATTTATAAACATAATATAAAATAACAACAATTTCATTAATGTTGATTCAATAAAGTCATCAGTTAATACGCTGAAACTTACTTGACATTCTTGTTTATAACTTCGCAGTCCCATCCGCGAATATTCACGTACGCTAGTTAAGTACTTTTACGTAACCAATATGTACGCTATCAATGTACGTTCGTGAACGAACACATTTTTAAGATTGACACGTAAAATGATGGGTCGCGTACGTGCATACTTGCACTGGTGTACTTATGCAGGTAGAGAGGCACATACATGACGATGAGCCTCGTACGTGACAGGAACGATAAGTGGACGTGACGTGTACGTATACGCATTACACGCATTCCTGGAGCGGTTTCTACACCGCGAGGCTCCCCAATGATCAGGCAAGTATCTCGAGCTAGGATATCTACAGACCACTACCTATCATCTTTCGTTTCATTCACACATGGCTCTCTCGGTCATTGAAGGAAAATTTCTGATAGAAATCTTAATTATGAATGCACGAAACATATATATATATTATTTTATTGTCCAATTTATGGTATATTAAAATTAGATTCCTAATTTATGTATTTTAGTAGTTTATATATTATTTCACATTTAAAATATATGTATATATATATATTTTTTTGTCAATAATGGTTAAGTATCGTAAGGCAATTCGTCCACTTAATTTATATAATTAAAGATATATTTTTATAAATCGTAATTATAATACTATTAAATTAAATATGTTATTTTTTTTTTTTTACTTCCATTTCTGAGAATTATTGCGTGGTGAAAGGCAATTAAATGGAGAGAGGATAAAATCTCAATGTTTCTTTGGTTGCGAGAAATGACGTGTTTGTCGGTCGATCGTGGGGCAGGCCAGTTCTCGGGGTCCCCCTGTGATAGAATAACACGATGTGTGAGGAAGTACATTAATTTCTCAGTTATCAAACAACCTCTTTGCATTCTACATTGCTAATACAAAAGACGGTTTAGTATGCAGAGTGTAAAAAAATGAAGAGAGTATATATATATCTTCGAATTAAGATGGCGGTGGTTCCTTATTTGTTATATGTTCCTAATGAAAGGGGAGCGCTGCGGAGTGGCCGCTCCGCGCATCACTGCACCCCACTATTCTTCACGCACTCGTAAACCGCGTTCATATGAATCATGTTCACCTTTCGGACCCTTTCTGTCACGATTGTAGTTACTCTTGGTTCTCAATACGTATAATCGACTATCCAGCGATATAAGATCACGTAGTTTCTACAACAGTTTGCTGTTTGTCGAGGAATATTGATTTCCTGTCATTCACGTAAGTCGATACTGATACCTATATTGAGGAATTTACAATAATAATAGCAATAATTTTTAACAATACATAATTAATTTTACAATAATAATAGCACTTTTAAAATTTCCGAATGTGGATTTTAATTTGTTTATTGTATAACATTTTTTCAAAATTTATGATAATAAATGATAAAGTTAAACTAAGTTCATATTCTTTTAGAAATAAATGAAGATAATTAATGTTTCGTAGCTAATATATATGAAATAAAAATTGCATTTACATTATGATCTGCGTAAATACATAATATCTTAACGTGGTTAAATAAGGAAAGAGGAAGTTTATTTTTATTAAGCAAAAGTAGCTTTTAGATATTAACCCAGATATTAAGTCTGATGGACAGAGATGAATGAAGGAGCGAAATTGAGATCTCTTATTCTATTTAACAGTCATAAGTACGCGAGTAGAAAAGTCGTAGCTTCCGACAATCTACGCAGTTATGATTGCTCTTCCTGTTCCTAACATCCTGTTCATGTGGAGTTCATTGGTACGTTTCCACGGTGCTCTGTACTGTAACATTCAGTGCAATCGAATCCAAATGACCTACAAACTCATTATTCGCCTTTTACGTGTGCTGAACCTCTTTTGAAAGTATGTTCTCCGATTAAAGGGTCGATTCTAGTCGATCGACAAAAGTGTTTTGCGGCAGTAGCAGTCGAACTATCTTGTGTCGGATGTTTTAACTCTACGGAGTATACAGCTCGTGGACGATGACCATGCTTTATCGTTGAAGTATACATTCGTCGAAGGTTAATTTAATTAACATCATGTTGGCAACCATGTTGGAAGACGTTTACTGGTTGACATACAAATTAATGAAGTTATTTTTTCAGTACGCTTTCTTTCACAGATTTGGCGTATTTGAAATAAATCTTTCAATAATTTAAAGTCAATTATCTACCTAATTATCGTCATTGTATCACTTATTTTGAACATTACGTTTGAATGTTAGTTGAATGATTTGCGTGGTCGTGACTTTCTACGATGTTAATAATCACCTATCATTTTATTCTTATTATAATGTGTTCTGGTTCTATCTTAAGAGCTTCTATTTTTATACCGGTGGAGCGACTGATCTTTCTGCCATCTGTGAACTAACAAGAAAATTCTTTATGTGAGTTCTGCAGCACGACCTCGACTCTGGATTTGTGTGTTCTAGAAGAAATGGAGGATTATAATGTGCAGTGTAAGAGGTATTTCGTGTATTCTGACATAATTAAACAATAATTCTGTTATGGAATTTCTCATGTGTTCGTGAAACAACGTGCATTAATTTCATCATGTATTAATTTTGCATGAGACAATGTCACAAGCCGAGTTTTTATTCCAGATTCTTTTACGTTTTGTTGTTTCGTTGTAGTCTACATTTTTTCGTAGAATAACAATGTGTTTTAAAAGTTATATGAATTATGTACCTTTATGTTTCATTTTTTACATATAATTGGTAACATTCTAAAACTTATAAATTTATATTTTATCATAATTAAAATGTACTTAATGGTATAATGGAATTTATGATTTATTATTTTACTACTCATTGTATTTTCAAACAAGTGAATTTATAATTCTTTTGTTTGTTAAAATTTCCAGACATTTATTACATAAGAATTAAGAATATTACTTCCATTCAATAATTGTGCAACATGCCATCCATTTGTGGCGATACAGTTGACATGGCTGGTAATTTCTTGTTAAATCTATTTTGTTAAGAAAGAATTTAGTATTATTAGTCACTAATAATGTTTTACAGTGGCTGCACAATCAACTATCGCAGAAGGTATTTCTAGTACTGATAGCATCGGTACTCACAGTGATATTTCTGGGCATACCACTATTTCAGGAAGACCCAGAATGGATGTAGCTTGTGTTTTAGACTTACAACAACCAGAACATTTGGCTCAGAGAAGAAGAGCCTTAGAAGAAGTTAGACAAGCATGCAATCTAGTTAATGCTAATATGCATCATATTCAGGTATAAATATTTTTCACTCTTAAAAGTAAAAATATTTAAGTATATATATCCTTGATTATTATTTTTCTAGTTTGAAAAGTTGGATTTTGGTGAAACAAATGTGCTTGATACATTTTATAATGCAGATGTAGCTGTTGTAGATTTAAGCATTCAGCTACAACAGTCTGCTTTGTTTTATCATCTTGGCGTCAGAGAAAGTTTTGGCATGAAAGAAAATATTTTGTTGCATAATGATATAGACACAGAAACAACAATCAGGATTAAGGTACATTTATATCATTTTTACATATTGTATCCAAAAATTAATTTTTAACATGATATTTCACAATGTGTAGTTGTCATGTGGTAATTATACATTTGTATCCTATCGTGTGGTGGAATGTGGTTCATGTGTGGCAACTAATCCAGCTACTACTAGGATCACTGGCGAAGAAGTCATAGATCCAAAACAACATCTTACGTTGAAGCTTAAAAAATTATTTCAAGATGTTGAAGTACAATCTAAGTATGTTTTGATTTTTCACTGCATTGTTATATATTTTTAGAGATAAGAAAGGAAAATACATTGTTCTTCTCTGCTTATGTTATGGTAAAGAAGTATATTTTCTTATCTTATCTTATCTTATTTTGTACACAAAATTGAGTGTAGCATCTTACTAGCAAGTTTATAACGAATTTCAACTTAGTGTAATGTTATTCTCAATACCAATTTTCACAAAAAATTTTACAATTTTTAGAGCACATATGAAAGAAAAGTTCCTTGCGGATTTACGAAAAGCTCGCGAAACATATTCGGGAGAAGAACTTTCGAAAGCTTTGAATAATATGCGTAAACGCTTAGATGACCCAAACGTTTTGTCTGGAGAAGTTGTTCTAAATGTTCTAATTTCCTTTCGTGAAATACAGGTAATAAATTAATAATTTTTGTTTAAAAAAAACAACAAATGAAACAAACAGATTTTTACTAATTAAAGTCATGAATATTTAGGATTACGATGCAATGGTACAATTAGTTGACGATTTAAGAACAATACCCACTCATAAGAATTACATCAATACTCCAGCTATTCGGAATTTATATGCATTTGCATTAAACCGGCGAAATAAAGAAGGCGATAGAGAAAGAGCATTAAAAGTAATACAGAAAGCACTGGAGAAAAAAGAAAATCATGTTCCTGACATGTTATGTTTGTGTGGAAGAATATATAAAGATAAATTCGTAGAAAGTCGACACACTGATGAAGAAAGTTTAAAAAATGCTATCCATTGGTACAGAAAAGGTTTCGAGGTATATCATTTCCTTTATTTTGCAGTACATTAAACATTTGAATTACGTAATTTCTTAAACTACATTTTCTACATTCAGGTACAACCAAATGAATATGCAGGAATCAATCTTGCTACACTGCTTGTTATAGCAGGAAACGAATTTTCTAAAAGTGAAGAATTACAACACATAGGCATGGTTTTGAACAATCTTATTGGCAAGAAAGGCAGTTTGTCCAGTCTAAAGGATTATTGGGATGTGGCAACGTTTTTTGAGATCAGTGTACTTGCTGAGGACTATTCGAAAGCCATTCAAGCTGCTGAGTGCATGTTCAAACTGAAGCCGCCAAACTGGTATGTACTAGTTATTATTAAAAAATTATATTAAAATAAAAAATGTTAGAATATTAATTGAATTGTTTTTTAAATAGGTACCTGAAATCGACAATAGGAAATATATCGCTGATAGATAGGTTTCGTAAAAAGGATGAGGA